CTGAAGGCGACACAGAGGAGGGTAGATAGATGGATAGATTTATTTGACAAAATTAAACAAATACATGACGATCATATCAGACTCCATATTCGAAAATAAATTGTCGAGGATTAACTTTGTTTACCACTAGTTTAAGGCATTTATATGTGGAGCTCACACTTAACGGCACAGCAGCGTCAGCATATGTCGCTGAATTGGCTCGGCACCCTGAGTGTGCGATTCACAACCAGCTTCCTTTGAGGTGTTGCAACTTGTGCAGCATCTCCGAAATGACGACCATTAATCAATCGGAGCTCGGATTAATTTTCTGTGTGTGTGTGTGTGTGTGTGTGTGTGTGTGTGTGTGTGTGTGTGTGTGTGTGTGTCTGCGCGTGCAGCTGAGGTGAGTGCTGTGCTGAAGCTGGATAACACAGTGGTGGGTCAAACCGCCTGGAGGACTGTAGGAGAACAGGCCTGGGACCAGACCTTCACTGTGGAGCTGGAGAGGGTCAGTACATATTCACACACACACACACACACACACACACACACACACACACACACACACACACACACACACACACACTCTCATATTCATAAAGTCAAACTACTCTTCAGTGTTTGACCGTTGGTGTGTGTGTTTTTGTGTGTGTCTTTCAGACGAGGGAGATGGAGATCGCTGTTTACTGGAAGGACTACCGCTCGCTGTGCGCTCTGAAGTACCTGAAGCTGGAGGAGTTCCTGGACAACCAGAAACACACAGTTCAGCTAGAGCTGGAGCCGCAGGGCCTGCTGCTGGCCGAGGTACACACACACACACACACACACACACACACACACACATACACATACACATACACATACACATACACATACACATACACATACATACACATGCACACGCACACTAATACACACAAGCTGTCACATTCACCTGTGCTGAAGAAGCTTTGATACGTCATACTTGAAAGGTTCAATCATCTGTGTGTGATGTCTGAAAAAACAGTGTGTGTGTGTTTATGTAGGTTCAGTGTTTTCATGTTGTGTGAGTGTGTGCGTTTGTGTGTGTGTTTATGTAGGTTCAGTGTTTTCATGTTGTGTGTGTGTGTGTGTGTGTTCTGTGTGTGTGTGTGTGTGTGTAGGTTCAGTGTTCACGTTGTGTGTTTGTGTATGTAGGTTCAGTGTTTGTGTGCGTGTGCGTGTGCGTGTGTGTGTGTGTGCGGGTTCAGCGTGTATGTAGGTTCAGTGTTTGTGTGCGTGTGCGTGTGTGTGTGTGTGCGGGTTCAGCGTGTGTGTAGGTTCAGTGTGTGTGTGTGTGTTCAGTGTGTTCACGTTGTGTGTTCTTTGTATTTCTCTAGGTGACCTTCTTCAACCGGTCATCGAGAGAGTCCTCGCCTCCAGAGACAGAAGAAGGTGTTTTTAAGCAGCAAGGTGAGGAGGGTGCGGAGCTTAGAGGAGAAGAAGAACAACATTCTGATAAATGATTACACACACACACACACACACACACACACACCACACACACACACACACACACACACACACACACACACACACACACAAACACACACACACACACACACACACTTATCTAACCTGCAGGCTCAGAGCCAAGGAAATAAACAAACTGAGGATTTCTGTTGTAAACGGCGAGAGAATCATGACACATTATAACTCAGACCACAGCGCCATCTAGTGGTGAAACAACGTATCGCTTCATTAAAACACTCAAAACAAATACAGAAAGAACGTCTCTTAACCAAGTTAGAAAACAGATTTTAAAAAGGCATGAAGAAGAACTAAAGCAGGGAAAATGAATTAGAGGGACTTTGGTTGATCTGAGATATATTTGAACGCCGAGCTTCACCCCGGGGAGTTAATCTTGATTTTCTCTTTTCCAGGTAAGGCCTTCCTGCGGGCTCGCCAGATGAACGTGGACATCGGGACGTGGGTGAGGCTGCTGCGAAACGCCATTCCCACCTCCAACAACTCAGGAACCTACAGTCCTCACGCACACAGCCTGACTCTTAACTCTGGGTGAGACACACACACACACGCACACGCACACGCACACGCACACACACACACACACGGAGACACTCCACATGTTTGATAGCCGTCAGTCGCTCTGTGCTATCAGACGCCGCAGCGCTCCTTGAACCTTTTTTCCTTGTGTTTCCTGGCAAAGTTTAAAGCAAGTGATGCTTTCTCTGCCGCACATTAACAACCCCCTCTGTGTTTGTGTTTGTGTCCGTCTGTCTGTCCGTCTGTCTGTCTGTCTGTCTGTCTGTCTGTCTGCCTGCATCACCGCCTGTCTGTCTGTCTGTCTGTCTGTCTGTCTGTCTGTCTGTCTGTCTGTCTGTCTGTCTGCCTGCATCACCGCCTGTCTGTCTGTCTGTCTGTCTGTCTGTCTGTCTGTCTGTCTGTCCGTGTGACTCTTTCAGGGAGGTCTCAGTGGAGAAGTTGAGTTTGGACAGCGACTCGCCGATACGAGGCGATTACAAGAGAGACGCGGACACACACACCCCGGTGAGACGGGCAGAGAGAGAGGAGGCTCGGGGTCGTAAAGCTCCGACCTTTGACCCTCTAGTAACCACTGTAAAATATTTAAGACATCTGAGTCCACAACGTGCAGCTCTTTAAAGTCTGGCTCACTCTGCAGGATCATCGGGCCGATTTGAGCTCCAATTCTTCCCGACAATCTCAGAGTCTCTCCCGACTCCAGGCTGCTCAGACCCGATTCTCTGCTCAGATTATCTCGTAGTGTGAGCGGTCCAAAGATCCAATCTTAACGTCCCCGATCTGCCCGGCGATCGTCGGGGACGCCCCGATTTATTTCAAACATGTTTGATATTTAGAATTTAAAATCTTGACGTTTACATCATGAAAGTGTTCGGCAGAAGTCTTGTGACTACAATATAATCACGAGAGACAAGGGAGGACTGTAGTCATGGCGACCAGCGGCAGGACACAACCCGTTTTTTTTTGGTTTTGTTTTCAGTACAGATCATCAGTGCAGCACTTTTCTGAAACTTGTCTCCATATATCTACGATTGTTTTAAATTACCTCTATCCTACAACAACTTCCACTTCCTTCTCTTTCCCAAACCGTCGTCCATTTGCGTTTTCAAATGAAACTTTATTAACAATTGTCAACGCTCCGTCCCGATTTCACTCGTACAGTGTGAGCTGACATGCCGGCCGTGCCCGATTTTTATACAATCGGGGGAAAATCTCACAGTGTGAGCCAGACTTTAGTACCGTCTCTTTTCACCATGTAGAGTTTGTGATCCTGCGAGCTACGTGTATGATACCGTCGATCAGACCCACAGCGACTAATTCTAAGTCTAATTAATCAAAGCAGCACTCCACAAGCTTTATTTAAGGAACCATATAGCAGACTGCTTTCTTTACATGATTATGATTGAATGAGGGAGAAAAGCAGCCAGCTTGGTGTGCATCACTTTCCTCTCTCCTAAGAAAGAGTTTCAAAAAGAGGAATGTGAACTCTGTGACATCTGAACTGTTGTCATGAAATCATCATCCGTCTCCCCTCTGTCTCTGCATGTCCCTGTCTCTGTGTCTTCTCCTCTGTGTCTCTTTCCTCGCTCGTCCCCTCATCAGGACCGACCGCCTGTCATTGAGCCCTTCTCCCCCCCAGACCTCACCCCTGAGGGCCCCGCCCGAACCCCGCCTGTCAGCAGGTACACACACACACACACACACACACACACACACACACACACACACACACACACACACACACACTCTTACATCCTTATGTGTTCATGTTTTACCTGCTGTATATTTTTCTTGAAATACTTCAAAGACCTCTTTCAGGAAAGACATTTTGACTTTTCATTGCTCGGGTGTAAATGGGAATATTCATGATGGATGAATTCCATTTTTGCTCTTTAGGTGTCTTAGTCTTGACGTCAAAATGTCGGCTGTGAGAGACGCCTTTGAATCAGCATGACAGCAGCTGTGTCTGAAATCATTCACTACATCCTGCTCTCTACATAGCGACTTCTCATTAGCATAAAAATAACATTTTGGACACTTAATTTTTTAATTCATAACAAATTGCCCTAGATGATGAGTAGTGTGTGATTTCAGACACTGCATATTTTACATTTTAAATGTCACATATTATCCTCCCATTATTCTCATCCTTCTCTTGTGAATCATCACAAAAATAGATGAAGGGAATCTTTTTCTCGAGCACAATTTTAAGTCGATGTGACCTCATGTCTAACTCACAAAATTGCATTTTCATTCTTGTGAAAACACTGATTTTTGTAGAACTCTTGAGTTATTCTATTGATTTTGATGTGCTTTTTAAATGCTGCCGCTGTGTGTTTGTTTTCTCCAGTAAGCAGAGGAAAGGTCCTCTGTCTCTTCAGGACTTCAGGCTGATCGCCGTGTTGGGCAGAGGACACTTTGGGAAGGTAAACTATGACCGCCTTTTAAATTCACTGTTTCAGTAAGCCCCCAAACGTGCACATGGAGAAGCACTCTGTTCAGCTTTCTGTCATTATGAGGGAAACAAACTGAACTGTTGCTGCATGTTTCTGTCTCCAGGTGTTGCTGTCAGAATACAAGAAAACGGGCACGATGTACGCCATCAAAGCGCTGAAGAAAGGAGACATCGTGGCTCGTGATGAGGTGGAGAGGTGTGTGTCTCTGTCTTTCTCCTCAATCCACCTACACTGTCCTCCTCCTCCTCCTCCTCCTCCTCTTCACGTCTTTCTCTCCTTCCTCCCGCAGTTTAATGTGCGAGAAGCGCATCTTTGAGGTGGTGAACCTGTCGCACCATCCCTTCCTGGTCAACCTGTTTGCGTGCTTCCAGACGTCGGAGCACGTGTGTTTTGTGATGGAGTACACGGCGGGAGGCGACCTGATGATGCACATCCACACGGACGTCTTCACAGAGCCACGAGCCGTGTAAGTACAGAGTGAATATTACATCCTGAAAAAGCTTCTTAATGGACAAAATTAAGCTCCCATGCAATCCCTCCAGCCAATTTTCCAACAATTCAGCGTTTCAAACCAGCGAATATGACGGATGTGGGCGTAGGGACAAATACGAGAAAATATAATCACAGAGAGGCAACACACCAAGAAGATAAAGCTCGTTCTAAAACGAGGGTGAACCTTGTGTTAGCTTTCACCTGCGGGCGCTGAGTTTGTCTGCTTCCTGTTGGATAGGCAGGTGACAAACACAGGTGGTTAGCTTGTGCTAGCGTGCTTTAGCTTGCAGTGTAGGTAAAGGCAGTAAACGTACACACTACATCCTGCAGGGGGTGGGGCTTCTGAAGGTGATGAGCCCAGGAGGAGTGGTCCAGTTTGAATATTGTGTTTACAAACTGTAAAAAAAAAGAAAAAGAAAAAAAAAGATGCTGCTGACTCTTCCTTTAAAGTCCTGACTGTAGGAGAGATGAGTGTCATCATTTAGAGAGCTTTTGGAGCATATTTCTAGTTGTTCAGTTACAAACTGTTTCCTGTTTTAAATCCTCATTCTGAGAAGTGACCGCTTCACTGTCTGACCTTTATGGGGGATTAAGGAGAGACTCAAAGAAATCCACAGTCCTCTTTCACCATAATGAATACGAGGCCTCAGAAGTCTCTGTTCAAATCTGGCATTTTCAAAGAGCACGAATAAGAACTTTGGAGAAATCATCCACTCAATTAGTCTCACTTCTCAAGACTCACATTAGCTTCAGCTGACCTTCAGGATACTTTTAAAAACTGAACGAGGACTGTGCATTTCTGTGAGTCTTCTCTCTCTCTCTCACTGATCATGAGGGAAAAGATCTTTATGTGGACTCACAAGTACAAAGTCCAGAGAAGAAGTCCAACCTGCTGAAGTGATAGAAAACATCTCTGTTGGTTCACAGTGGGACTGAAGGGGTTTTTAATGATCCATCCTCATCCTCCAAAATATCAAAAACAGTTCATGTTTTCAAAAAATAAACTGAAGCTGGATTATCTGTGAGTGTCAGACCCTGAGCGTAGAAGTCAGGGTCCCTTAAAAAGTCTTAAATCATCTTAAAGGTCACATATTATAAACCCTGATATTATAAACCCTAATATGTGTCCCTCGTCTGTCTACAAATGAAACTTTTAAACTTGTGATGATGGGAATCAAAGCGGTTGAGCTAAAATACGGCGGGACAGCTCATCATGTAGCAGTGCCGTGCAAAAACAGCACACTTGGTGACACTTGCTCAAATTCCTTAAAGTTCATATTCCATCAAAATCACAATGTGTGGTCTTCTTCAGAGGATATTTAAGCGGGTGTGTGGGGATATCTTCTTCCTCAAAATGACTTCAACTCTTCCTTCGTTTGGGTCTTTAAAGGACTTGTCTCTTTATTTTCAGCCTCAGTAATTGTGTTCTTTTGATTTGATTTCAGGTTTTATTCCGCCTGCGTAGTTCTTGGACTTCAGTTCCTCCACGACAACAAGATTGTGTACAGGTGAGTCAAACACACACAGCCTGCATCCTGACGCGATAACTCAGGTGTAAGAAAGAAGAAGCATCGTTATTAGTCTGTGATGAAGACGAGTTTCTCCTCCTCTCGTCAGTCTGGTTTATATCTCTGTTAAACGACTCATGCACGGGGCGCTGGTGGTGCAGTGGTTAGAGTGTGCGCCCCATGTGTGGAGGCTGTAGTCCTCCAAGCGAACGGCCCAGGTTCAAATCCCACCTCTGGCTCCTTTCCTGCATGTCAGTCCCCTCTCTCTCTCCCTGATTTCCGACTCTATCCACTGTCCTATCTCTACATTAAAGGCACAAAAAGCCAAAAAATAAATCTTCAAAAAAAAACCCGATTCATCTCAGCTGTGTAAAGACGAGCTGATTCTCACCTTCATGTTTTCACCTTCCCTCTCCCACAGAGACCTCAAGCTCGACAACCTGCTGCTCGACACGGACGGCTACGTGAAGATCGCCGACTTTGGGCTTTGTAAAGAAGGTGCAGCTGACACATTTATTCTTCATTGCACATCCCATAATGCCGTCTGTGGTGCGGGGGAACGAGGGCCTGTTTCAGAAAAAGAATGGCGCAGCTTTTACACCCGCTAAACCTGAGACACCGCCTCTATCAAAAAGCTCTCGCAAAGGGTTAAACGAGCTACAGAGCAAACAGTGTCTCTGTGCATGTGAGCCTCATTGCAGAAACTGTCTTAATTCACAAACAGCCTCGTGCAGTTAGCTTGAAAATGTTAGCGTCTGCTGCGAGTTGGCGGGATGTCCCCGATAAATAAACGGTATTTATCGGGGACATCACGCACCAACTTTCCAGAAATCAGGATGACATTTCTGCCTTTGTGTGACTTTAAAATAAATGATCTGCATATCAAGTCTATAAACATTACCTTGATATACCGTAAAATCTAACTTGAAATAGCTTTGTTTTCATTGGAAAAAAGAGCGCTTTGTCTTATACACCAGTGCTACCAGTATAAAATGCTGAGACACACAGAATTTTATTCACGTTTGTTCTGCCTCTGTGTGCAGGAATGGGCTTCGGGGACCGGACCAGCACCTTCTGTGGGACGCCGGAGTTTTTGGCCCCGGAGGTGCTGACAGACACGTCGTACACCCGGGCAGTGGACTGGTGGGGACTCGGGGTCCTCATCTATGAGATGTTGGTGGGAGAGGTAAGAACCCATTGGCTCTGTCATGTGATTATCATCCCAGTGTCTGTGTACGCCTCTGATGACATCACACAGGAAACAAAAAACATGTTTTAAATTTGTGTGTGTGTGTGTGTGCTTGTGTGTGTGTGTGTGTAGTCTCCATTCCCAGGGGACGATGAAGAGGAGGTGTTTGACAGCATAGTGAATGATGAAGTGCGTTATCCACGCTTTCTCTCTACTGAGGCTATCGGTATCATGAGAAGGGTAAGAACATTCACACACACACACACACACACACACACACACACACACACACTTGCTGACTTCTCGTCTGTGAACAATACTTGATGACAAAGTCTGCACGTATGTACAAAACACTTCATCATCAGAATGTCGGAGAGGTCACACATTGATGCAATTTTACCGTGTGTGTGTGTCTGTGTGTGTGTGTGTGTATCATGAGCAGCTGTTGAGGAGAAACCCTGAGAGAAGACTGGGCTCTGGTGAAAAGGATGCAGAGGAGGTGAAGAAGCAGCCGTTCTTCAGAGTGAGTACACTTGTGTGTGTTTTGTTATTTTATGTGGGCGATGAGGCGTCCTCGTCTTTTGTCCTCTGAGGAGCAAAAGGTGTGTGTGTGTGTGTGTGTGTGTGTGTGTGTGTGTGTGTGTGTGTGTGTGTGTGTGTGTGTGACAAAAAAGCAGTCTGAAAAAAAAAAAAAGGCTATTGAGGGAAATATTTGCAGCACATCAGCAGTGATATTGTTAATATTGTGATCAGGGTTTCCAAGACAACAGACTTACTTGTCAGCAGGAAAAATTGTGAGGCAGCAAACACAGCAAGTCATCAAATGAGTGGGCATGTGTGTAAAGCATGCACAATGTGAACTGAAGAGTGGAGAAGAACATCCTGGAGAACAGGAAACATAATGCAGCAGGTTCACGGAGGTCGTAGAGGTGGCGTGCAGACAGTCTACGGTCGGTGCAGCGATCACAGGGAATAAAACGTCACCACCCCCTCCCCCACTCGCTCCAGGTGAATTCTCCTGATTGATTTTTCTCCTTTTCCCTCCAGAATGTGGACTGGGAGGCGTTGCTGCAGAGGAAGCTGCCCCCTCCCTTCGTCCCCTCCATCGTCGGCAAAGAGGACGTCAGCAACTTCGACGAGGAGTTCACCACCGAGGCGCCGACGCTCACGCCTCCGCGGGAGCCTCGCGTGCTCTCGCGCAAAGACCAGGATAGTTTCCGGGACTTCGACTACGTCTCCGACCTCTGCTAGTGGACCTCCAGGGGCAGGGGGTTGGGGGCTCACAGACCTCGAGGAATGTTTTATTTTGAAGGATTCATGGCCGAGCGTCTCCACTGACTCTCCCTTAGTTACACTGTGAATGAATGAGTCTTTATCATGTGTGTCTGCAGACTTTTAAAGATGGAGGGACTGACGATATGAAACCCCGCTCAGGTAGCTGACGGGCGGACATGTTCCATCACAAAGGACAAACCTCTCTCTCTCTCTCCAATCATTGTACAACACAGCAGTGAGTTGTGTTCCTCTGCCTTTAAACGCCTCCTCCCTCCTCTCATGTATCATCGTGGTCGTCGTCTGCAGCTGTGAGAGGCGGAGCTCGCCGTCTTCTCGTAGTGTTTTCCTGAGGCTTCCTGTCGGCCTCTGATAACAATGCCTTACATTTGTACTTGTGCGTGATCCACATAAAAGCATTTTTTGTTTTTATTGTGTGAGCCTCTGTCTGCAGGAGGAGCGGACCCGACCGTGCTGCAGGATAAGAACTGTAAAAAAAAAAAAAAAAAGAGTTGAAAGAGCGACGTGACTTTGTAGACCTACGGTGAAGACGATGAGTCATGCACGGTGAACTCTAGGGACAAGAACCACTGTCTTACTTTTTAACTACTATTAAAAACTTTAGCTGCTTGGGTTTTAATTTCTGAAACAAAAAACGTTTAGCAGAACAGAGACCCCCAATTTCCACTTTCCCCGTGCGTGTGGAGCAACACTACGCTCCGTTTCAAATCCGCTGCAAGAACGAGTCAAGCTGGACAGAATAGAACGAGCCAAACAGGAAGTAAGACAAAAGATAAGCACAGAGTGTCTGCTTAATTTCAAAATAAAATGAAGTATACAAACTCACGATCAAATTTTCCATCATCGCGTCAAAACAGCCGTCAAAGGAATGACAAATCATCCTCAGAAAGACGGAGCAACGTGTTTTTGTTTGTTTATTCCTGTGATCTTGTAGTTCTCTCTGTGATCTTGTATTCTCTCTGTGATGTGGGTACAGCGGCTCATTGCTGCACTCACACCAGAAACAGATCCAGTGTGGCAGAGCGCTCGCCGTCCGACTGAGGAAAACCGTGGCGCTGACGGACCGCAGCGTGCACGGAGTAAGTGGAAATTGGGGGTTATATTTGACAGCTGATTCTATGACATACTGTTCAGTACACAAACCTATCTTTTTCTAATTGGACATTTGAGTACAGAACATGTGGAATCTGGAACTGGTGTAGCAGACTGAATCACAACCACCAGCATAGAAAAGCTTTTCTTTTTTTTTTGCAGCCAGGGCGTTTAATTTTAATTTGTGAAAACATGAACACTAAGACATGACGTCCAAGTCGCACACTGTCCTCCTTGAGACACGTTGGTTAACTTATCGACATGCAAACCGTGTTGTTTGTACATGAAATCAGTTACTTCACCACCAGAAACAGTTTTTTTTTTTTAATCCTGCGCTGGAGTCACTGCAGGGTGTGTTTCAGTCACATCTTTTTCTGCAGCCATGAATTTTTTGACTTTATAGCGATTTGGGGAAATGTGTGTGTGACCTATGCAGGGGCGTGTCCAGACTTTTTCTTAATTGGGGTTGCCCACCTGGGGGCCACCATCATGCAGGGGCAGCATGAAGTTTATGGGCACACATGCAAATTAATTAAATTGTTTTTCCCCCTTCTTTACCAACAAATTATACATGCTGTTAGTAACAGAATTTACATATAAATCTACTTACCTTGATTCAAAACAAATTCACAATTTAAAGTACAAAAAAAAACTTTATTAGTAAGTGAGTCCATCGCTTGTTAGACAGTGTGCATGCAAAGTATTCATTACAACTAAAAACCACGACCATTAGCTTAGTTGATTTGTACTTAAGTCCCCGCCTCTGATTATACAAAATGCCAATCATGGATTTAGATTTTGGGGTGTCCCATCAGATTTCAAAGGGGGGGCCCATGCCGCCCCTCTGGCCACGCCCCTGCACCTAGGGTTTCACGATACCAGAATTTTAAGCTTTTATACGATACCAGTAAAATCAAACGATATCAAACCCCACGGCAACAAGAGAAGTCCTAGGCGATCAATACCGGGTCATCTCTTGTTTTGAGTGGCCAAAATATGAAGGCAAACTCCTTCACGCTGTTTAAAAGGCTCAAATACCTGTAGTGATAGTTTGTTACTGAAACATCTACAACATATTTGTGCACTTAAGACAGTGCTCACTCTCTCTCTCTCCCTCCCTCTCTTTCTCTCTGTCTCTCTCTCTCTCTCATTCTCGCTTGCGGCAGCTTTTGGTTAAAATATGACTGAAGATCTGTCAATTTTTTTTTTTTTTAAAGCCTCTGTGCTCTTGGATACTTTTGATCGCGTATCGAAGAGTACTGAAGTATCGAACCTTGGCACCACAAGCACAACGAACCTCAGCCGTCGCTTTCTGGAGAAAAGAAGCATTTTCAAGCTTCATGCGGTGAGCTCTGTCCCAGCTCACTACTTCTCTTGGCAATACAGTTTTCTGACAAACAATATGGTTGAGGGGAAACAGAGTTGAATATGAGCGATACTTCCATCACTCTTAATCATTTCTGAGTACAGGAGCATTTGTTGTGAAGCTGTACGTAAGATGGTGTGGCTTGTACTCATCCTGTGAATGACAAAATGAAACCATGTGAGAGTATGAGATGACTTATTTTATAAAGAAAAGCTGGAGTGAATATTCCTGTCTGTGACCTGGTTATTACAGGTGTGGGTGTGTCGCTTTCAAACTGAGGAAGGGGTTGAGTACAGAGTAACACATGAAAGTGGTTTGCAATTATTGGTAAATATTGAATCATCTTTGAGTGGGATGATGGGATGACTTTCTCCTTAAAAAGTACATTTAAGGTCAAATATAAACTTCACCATGTTTAACTCTAATATGTGTCTCTAGTCTGTCTACAAACCCCCCAAACATGAGAAAAGTCCATCCTCCGTCTTCTGCCTGCTCCACTTTTCAGAAAATCTGTGCTCAAACAGGCCGTTTGGAGATTTCCCTTCATGACATCACAAAGGGCAGTAGCCCCTCCCCCAGGTGGGTGACACTCCCACAGCTAGGTGTTTGTTCTGGGGTTTATAGACATGATCAAATACAGGCTCAGAGTGGATTTAGAACAAGAAACTTCACACACATGCTTTGGGGAGCTCTGAGAACCTCCACAGTCAGGACCAGACTGCAGACCTCCACTGTGAGGACGCTGTCAGGACCAGAAATACACGCTAAAAAGTTTCAAAATAAAATTGTGTTGCACTTCCGGTTTAGCGTTTAATTCATTTATAACCCCTTGTTGGGGAATGCACGCAGTACACTTCAATATAAAATTGAAGTCACTAGTAGTCAAATCCGGTTTAAGTGTTTTACTCATGAATAGTAGTGAAACACAACAGTCAAAATCCAGATATATTAATGTGATTATTGATGCTGGGAACAAATTAATGGTGTAAACTGGTTTCACTCATAATGCCTTCACTCGCACGAGAGCATATGAGAATTATATACAGTATATAAATGTCACTCCCCCCTCCTATTGGCTCGAGGTGAATTCTCCGGAAATATCCTGCTGTTTCTCACATCAGCTCACTCGAACTTGCTGCAGAAAAAAACACACCAGGGGTCTAACGAAGAACATTATCCTGTGTGCTGACTTCCTTCAATGAATAGTGGACTAGATTAACAACCTTTAGTGGAGTTAACACGTTGCTTGCTCACGGTGCACAGCAGTGGTTGTCAACTCGTCTGGCCTCAGACCCACATCCAATTCATCTGTGAAATAAACGCGACTGATACTGATACTTTTCGACCAATTTTTTATTTTTACTTTTACTTTTTTTGTACTTTTCTACTCTTTTCTTATAATGCTATTCTATTTTATATATAATTTTAACTTTTTTTTGTAGAAGCTGACTCAGGGAAAAACACACAAGAATTCCAATGTACCTGTACTGTCCTGTACATGTGCAATGGCAATAAACATCTATTCTATCCTATTCAATAACATTATTTACAGATAAAAATTTCAGTTTGGATCTCTCTCATGTCTCTGAAGAAAGAAAGTAAACGTTTAAATGACGACCCACTATTGGGTCCCGACCCACATATTGAAAACCAACAGTGAAAAGCAACATTAACTACACATGTATAGAGACACCCATAAGTGATGATTGAGCAGCAATACTCAGGCCATAAATAACTCTCCTGAAAAAATGTGAATATGACTGTTTCTGACTGTAAAGGTATGACTGTGTGAATTAGGAGCTGTGTGTGTGTGTGTGCGTGCTGCGTGTATTAGTGTGTGTGTGTGTGTGTATATGTGTGTGTGTGTATTAGTATGTGTGTGTGTATATGTGTGTGTATTAGTGTGTATTAGTATATGTGGTGTGTGTATTAGTATATGTGTGTGTGTATTAGTTGTATTAGTATATGTGTGTGTGTATTAGTATATGTGTGTGTTATTAGTGTGTATTCGTATATATGTGTGTGTGTATTAGTATATGTGTGTATATGTGTGTGTATTAGTGTGTATTATATATGTGGTGTGTTGTATTAGTATATATGTGTGTATATGTGTGTGTATTAGTGTGTATATGTGTGTGTATTAGTGTGTATTAGTATATGTGTGTGTGTATTAGTGTGTATCGTATATATGTGTGTGTGTATTAGATATATTGTGTGTGTATTAGTGTGTATTCTATATATGTGTGTGTATTATGTGTATATGTTGTGTGTGTGTGTATTAGTGGTATTAGTATATGTGTGTGTTGTATTAGTGTGTATATGTGTGTGTGGTTTAGTGTTATTAGTATATGTGTTGTTGTTGTATTAGTGTGTATTAGTATATATGTGTGTGTATATGTGTGTGTGTATTAGTGTGTATTAGTATATGTGTGTTGTATTAGTGTGTATTAGATATGTGTGTGTGATTAGTGTGTATTAGTATATGTGTGTGT